GAGGGCCCCAACCCTGCCCCCAGCAGTCGAGGGGCGGCCCCCCCAGTGCCCAGCACAGGGGCACGGTCCCTGCCCTGCTCCTGCTGGCCACACCAGTCCTGATACAAGCCAGGATGCTGTTGGCCCTCTTGGCCACCTGGGCACCCTGCTGGCTCATATTCAGCCGCCTCTCGACCAGGTCCTTTTCCATCAGGAAATCATTTAGGATGATTTAAAAGTACACATTGTCACACATTCCCCAATTACTACTTTAAATACAAGGAAAACTGAATTATTTGAATTCTGATTGGGAAAAAAAAGGGATTGCAACATATTTGATTTTAGCTAGATTATACGTACGGTAGCGCAGGGGACAGTCTGGATCTATCAGGAGTAAAATCTTTTTGTTTACTTTCAGCAAATGACATCACTGTCTCTCAGGTTTCCCATCATTTACCTGTTAAGTCTCCTGTTTGGTGTCAGATGCTGTCATTTCATGATAAATGACTTCTGTATAAATGAAAACAATTGTATATTTTTTTTCTATTGAGTTTGTTTTGTTCCGGTGTAATATATCGTCCTTACAGCATCATGTAAAACTGAAAGATGAACCAATTTACACATTATTTATAATGAATGTATTAAAAAAAAAAAAATTACTGTATGATCCATACTTGTGTCTTTTGTTTTTTACCTAACGTGCAAATATTTCAGTATCTTCCCATGGAAGCTGTAGGTACCTCCAGGAGTATCTGCAAATTCCTCAAATGCATACGCAAAGCTGTAATAATAAAAAGGACAGGTTGGCAGCTACTAGAAGTAGTTTCTCCCATTACAAAAGTGTAAAATTGACTGAAGTGTAAAAAACTGACAGCGAACACAACTCTGTGTATTTCCAAGCGCACCCTGCCCTCAGCTTAGGTTGCGTGCCCATTCTTCACCTTTCTATGGAAAATACCGAGTGCTTCCTCCATGCTTTTCCTGTTTAACCTTCTAAAACTTACTCCCTCGGTAACCGGTGTGGTAACCGGTAACCGGTACCTGCTGGAGGCCCAGGGAGCGGCGGGCCCCGGTGCCGGGATGCCCGGCGGGGGCG